CTGCGATGAAGACTCATTTTTGCATCAAACATTCAGAAATCATTTCAGTGATCTTCTTATTTTGCTTTTTCTTTTTTATTTGAAATGAAAATACAGCTCACTTGGCATACACTACACAAAGTATAATAAATGACAGTATTTTGACGCAGAACGCATGAAGTAAACAACGAATAAACCATATTCCTCATTATTTGAAAGATTCTTCGAAAGATTATTTTTTTCGTGGACTGTCACCTAAATGCATGTACAAACGCGCGACACAATCCGGATGCATAAAGAGTTTTTAGCGAATTTATAAATAAAACAAATTTATGCAGCAGGACTGAACATAAGGATGTGCGAGATAACGCCAATAAAATTATTTCTTAAAAAAAGGAACAAATATTTGTCATTTTTAGAGTGGTGACGAAGAATGGTACGGCAATATCGAAAGAGGAAAGAGCACAATGACGGAACGAAGTGCAAACTTCTTAACAAATGTAATTTCAAATTCGGACATTCCATTTCTCACAGCTCGGCAAAAAACAAGTTTCATTTGTCGAATTTCTTCAAAAACCGATGTTGGTAATATTTCTGTATGATGGTATTACGTTGGTAATATAAAACAAAAGTCCACACAGGAAATAGTGAATATGCACATTAAAAACAAAAACGACCGCTGAACAATGAACGAGTAAAAAGTTTGCTGTGAAAGATAAAGTAATGTAGGCGATAAAACTATTAAAAAGTAGTACCTGAAAAAGAGGATGAATCAACGTCTGGCTTGTACCGGGCATACCGGTCGCAAGGGCGAGTTGAGGAGGCAAAATTCCGGGTAAACCGAGCATTAGGCTTTGCCAAACTCGTTGCAAATCATTTTGCGGAAGTAACTGCTGAGCGAGTCGCTCTTGAACGGCCAGAAGAAACATTTGCTCGGCCTTAAACATATACAAATGATTAGTTGTGGCGATCAACAATAACAGATCAATCGGACATTGAAGCAGTTATGATATATCCATTCATATACGTATAGATGACAAATACTCAGATACACTTGAATGATGGAAATGGAACAATCAACGAAGGTGTGGTATACGACATGAACGCAATGAAGTTGGCATCAGGACGTTATCTGCATAAATAGCTTCATGTTGACATGACATTAACAAATACTGCATTAGAATTAACTCATTCCAGCAAATGACTACATTTACAGACGC